GTGAATTTAACTGATGGAAACTGATTACTAGGATTGCCAGGTCAATAGAGCTAAAATCATGAGGATAAAGTTGTATTAGTCGAATCAGTCTCTGTTTATTGAATGTACAATTTGATCATTCCTATACATGAATTCTTATAGAAGTACAAAGCAAAATTTCAAAAAATAAAAAAAAATAAGAAAAAATACCCAAATCTATGAAAAAAATCCCTTCTTGATCACGGTTTCCACTCCACAAGATGCTTCTCATTTCTTTTTGGCTGAGAGATCAAGTACCGAGTCGCAAGAGTACAAGATGAAAGATGAACGAAAAAATTAGGGTCAACTGGGCTATTCAATAAAAACACATGAATTTATTTATTTATTTGTTGAATAAGGCGAGAGATCAAAATTAAAAATAATAGTTTTTGAGGGGTACATGCCCCCTAGGCGCCCCACCCCCAGTGGCGGAGTCAAAAAAAATTTATATAGGGGGGCCAAATATATTATTTCAAAATTTTTCTCAACTTTTTTCATCAAAATTTGGGACCGACAGAATGGGCATAGGCAATTTTATAAATTTATTTATGATTCTTATATTAAAAAGATAAAATATTAGTTACATGATAATATAAAACTCATTTTCATTTTAGCTCATTAAACAACATTAAGTGTGCCATTCCTTTTGCCCAAGAGCTTCCCCACAAGGGCTTGTTCTAGCTTAGCAATGTTCTGCTGAACAAAGTCAACATGTAGAGAAAATGTGATATCATCTTTGGCAAAGACATCCGACTTGCATACATCATCAATTTTGAAGACTTCTTATCTATTTCTTCCATTGGGGAGCTTAGCGATAATGTTATGAAGCACATTGATCCTTTCAGCGAGTAGGTTTTGATGGGGCATTTAACTGAATAGTTGGAGTGCATTTATGTGGAGAAGTTGTGTCATTCATAGTTGCATTTAATTGATTTATACACATGCAAGTAAACTCAAAATGCACATTTGTATTCATAGCATCATTTAATTTCATGCGTCAATGAGTAATTTCATCATCACAAGTGTCCATAATTGTTGCATTACAAGCAACTGTACAAATCACGGTTGAATCCAAAGCAATAAAAAGTTGTTTCCTAGAAATTGTGATTGCAGTTTGAAAAATAAAGCAGTAAGAAAATTGTACCAAATAGGCCCTCAACCTAGTAAATCAAATTAAGATTAAACCAAACTAATTGAATCAAGAATAATTTGCTCGAGTTGAGTTGGCTAAATCACCTCAAAATTTTAACTCATAGTGTTTCATAGCAAGTTGTCCATAAAGAGATCATTTATAACAAGTAAATTCCCATAAAGAGATCATTTATAACAAGCCGTCCATAAAGAGATTATTTATAACAAGTAAATCCCCATAAAGAGATCATTTATCGCCGCGGCCCCTACAACTATATGCTAGCTACAAATTATAGAGAACTATTTAACTATCCTGATGATAGATCAATTGATTCTTAAATAATTCATCTTGTTGCATTGGCCTTGACTCTCACTTATAATAGTGGATCAATTGACAGGTGAGGGACATATAATTTTGCAATCCTAAGCTTAAAATTTCGTATAATCACAACATCCTAGGCTTTGTTTGGGGCAGCTTTTTTGTTGCTTATTAAAACAATTTTTTAGTACAAAAATTTTAATTTTTATGCAAAAAAATTATTTTGAGAAGCAATAAGAAAGCCATTACAAATGAGGCCCTAGTTAATCCTAAACCACAAAGCTCTAAAAATTCTCTCTCTCTCTCTCTCTCTCTCTCTCAACTCATGTACTCTTGCTGAGTAGTCCTAATTAGGTCCTTTGTTGATACAATTCTCATGAGAGGTCTAAAGATTCAAACATGGTTCAACCCAACCAGTATGAAATGATGTATGTAAACTTGTTTGATGTCTATATATAGTAGATTATTTTAAATTCAACATAACCTCGCAATCTCATATTGAACTAGCTACCTAGCTTCCAATATTTTTCTTAATGCAAATCTAGAAAAGCTAATTAGCACCTATACATTTTGTTGGGTGTTGGTCCAGATTTTATGTTAGGTTAATTGCATTGACATCTTTTTCATGTAAATCTCTATAAATACAGGTCTTATGTGATGTAAAGATTTGAAAAAAATCTAAATAAAGCTTAGTTTTATTTCCTTGAAATTTTATTTCTCCTCCTCCCTCTCTCTTGTAAGAAGAGCTAAAGATGAGCTCTCAAGATTCCTCCTGAATTATCTAACTTTTTTTCTTCATTTTTTTTAAGACAGGTACTGAAATAACTGATGAATTGACATTTACAGATGGTTGGTTTTATGTACCCTAGCGAGGAGAACTTGGGCCCCAGCACACTTTAAAACTCAGCCAAATTCAGCCACACTGGCTGTAATGACTTCTCTGTGATGCATTTCTGGTACATTTCTCTCCTCGGCGCTAAGCATTGCCACGATGCAGCCCACAACAGCTCATCCTTCACACAAGGACATAAAAGAGAGAGAGAGAGAGAGAGAGAGAGTTACATTGTTACCAGAATAGGAGCAGTAGAATGGTCAGTCATCATAAGTTTCTTGTAGCTTGAATTATTACGTCCGGTCATCGGACCGTCCATACACCAATTCAGACGCGCCACATCACGCGCCACATCACCTGGATACACTGGGCCTCGGATGTATCTGGGTGACGTGGCGTGTATGGATTGATGTCCGGACGAATCCGGACACCGTATGTAATACTTTTCCCTAAACCAGAGATTGTTTTTACGTGCGGCAGTCTTGAGGAAGTAATCTGTTTCCCAGCAAACGTCAGCCTGAACATTTACTAGTTCAGCTGCATGCAGCTTGGAGCTTATTATAGTAGGCAAGTGCTGCCCATGCAAAGTTGCAGGTGACTGTGAAAGCCATAGACAAGCCAAATTTCACATTGTCCCCCGCATCATAATATCCTTCTGTAAGATCCCGTTGCAAATTTATATCATCAAAGGAAGAGTTAGAATTACCTTGTCAGATCAGTAAATTCAAATTAAGCTAGCATGTACCAATATAACTAATTAATGTTTTATAGAAAAAATACAAAAAAAAAAAACTTTTCTTCTTTTGACAGAGATTTGCTTTGCAATATAGAATATTAATTTAGGGCCGCATGCAATTGCAATTTTATTTTTTTCCTTTTCTTAGCTTGTAGTTGTAGATGGAATATAAAATTGCAATATATATGTTTTTTCTAGAAATAGAACAAAGGTTTTTTATTTTTTAAAATAATTATGACGATTTGGTATTTGAATTTGCTCCATAAAGTTATTCTATAATCGAATAAGACACCTTGTATTGTAACGGGAGAGATCCTGCAACTTTCTATCCAAATACCCATTGGAAAAAAATATATAAATTCATAATGTAATATTAAAATATAGGGGATTGATTATAAAATTTTGAGTTTGATGCATGAAATTAGCTAATTAAACTAACATTAGCAAGCATGCCATCTTGTAACGGAGGGTCTCCCCTCAATGGAATCTTTATAAGCTTCCCTCAATGTTGCGTGTGTCTATATATATATATATATCACTCAAATTTAATGAGTGTTGCAGGCTGGAGTATCCGCGGCGGTAAAATACGAAAAACTTCACATCTTAGTGTCGCACGAGTAACTAGCACACAAACAAACCAAAAAAAAAAATAACATAATTTTTTACATGGAAAACCTTGAAGGGGAAAAACTGCGGGGCTAGGTTCAATTGAAATGATTCTACTGGTGTTTGAATAGATTACAAGTGATTGGTTCGTCCTTGAAATTGAGGCCGTCGGGTTGAAATCTAGTGATGAACAAAGATTAGACGGAAATTCGGCAACGTTCGATGGTCGGGAGAAAATCCTATGTCAATTGGCGGCCGTACGGAACTCTGGCGTCAGTCTAGCGTGGGGTAAAGTACGGCGACGGGTGAAAGTCTGTAGATGGACGAAAGTCATGCGTCGGGCAGAAGTCCGACGGAAGTCCGACGATGGGAAGAAGTACAGTGACGGGCGAAAGTCTGGTGGTGGACCGAAAGTCTGGCGGTGGTTGAGAAGGAACATGGTGGCAAGAGAAATATCAGGTTTCTCTTCTTTCTTTCTCTCCTCTTTTTTTTTTTTTTTTTGAAGACTGAGTTGTCTATTTATAGTTGTTTGGGGTGCGACAAGATTAGTAAATAATGAGAAGATCAAGGATATGTTGAGGGTGTTTCGAATGGATAGTCGATATTGATTCTCTTGATCATGGACTGTTTATTGACAAATTGAGTATCATAATGGTGCCAAAATTCAACAATCTTGGGCTCGTTGGATTTGTCTCGTCGAGCCGCTCGATTTAACTATAACCATGTCACTACAGAAAAGTAGCGTATTTTCGACGGATTTTATGATAGAAAATTTTATTGCGGATTTTTAAATTTTTATGCGTATTTTAGGCAAAAATGTTTTCGACGAAGAATCGAGTGTCGGAAAAAAAATCCGTCGGAAAAAAAATATGGTGGAAGTAGGCCGTCAGAAATGTTTTTCGGCATCTGTCTGGCAGAAAAATTCGCCGGAATAACTAAAAAAGAATTAAAAAAAATGCCTCCCGCTGACTAACCCGCAATTGGATGACTTTGGGAGTTTTTCTAAAGACGTTCCATTTAAGGTAGAGGCTTACTAAGAGGCACAAATATGACTTTAGAGGTCACAGTGATAACAAAAGTTAGCATCCATTGATATCACAATGATAAAAAAGTGGTATTAAGAAAAACTCGTTACATGACAAGATGTCGAGAATATTATACGATCGATGGTGAAAGAACTACAAAAATAAGGCAATATACGTAGAATTCAAGACGATGATGATGAGTCTGATTTTTCATATTAAAGGTGAGAAATACATATGGGAGAGCTAATACTATGATAATTGAATGAAACTATATCTATCTTTGCAACTGAACTAACTTTATTTTTGCATTTGTTTATTTGTGAAATAAAAATCCAACTTTATCTTTGAAGAACTATTTGTGAAATGAAAATCAAATGTAGATAGTCGAGTATTATTTTGATTTGAATCTTGAAATAAATTGTATGATCAATAATTTGTCTGAAATTGTTATGGTCTTAAACTGAATCAAATGTATACTTATTTGTTAACTGATATTGTAGCAACATGAATTAAGAATGCAACAAACAAGGGGTCACATAGGTCTTTGTGACCAGTAAATATAGTAAACAATCGCCTGTAACCTTGATTGATCGATCTCTTTGCATCAAGATTTTTGTGGCAATTTTTTTTTGCAAGTTAATACATAAAATTTTTCATAAACACTAATTAAATATGTAAATTCTTCTCAGATTCAAATCATGTTACTATAAATAATATTATTACTGTAGAAGCGATTTTTATGTTATATCTCTTACCGAATATGCCGCTCATAAATTTTCTTTTTTTTTGACATGATATTTTGCTATTGGTTTTAGGATGCTTGAATTAATTACAAAATGGTATTTGTGTTAAAAATCAATATATTAAATTTCATGTATTTTAACAATACAACTTAAACTTGTTGGGAATTTCATTGAGATAACACAACCATTCAATAAATTCATTAATTTCAATGATTAGATTCTCATAATTTTAATCTAAATTTCTTATATATATATATATATATATATTGTATCAGATAAATATAATGTAAATTTTTAACAGCTAGTTTTATTTCTGATATAATATTGTTTTGTATGCATATAATTTTAAACAACAATTTATATAATATTTTTTTATCATGGTAATAATAATAAAAAAAACATAATTTTAGGAAAGTATAATTAAAAATTAATATGTTCATCACATGCCTCTTAGCGGTAGTTTGGCCAACAATATTTGTAGTATATTGTTGTGTTATTTATTTATTTTTTATTTTTGGATGGTTGATTATAAGCAAAATAGCATTAAGGAAATTTGGAAATATTTAAGCATTTAAAATATCTAATAATATATGTTTTTCTTGCTTGTAGAAAATTTTTAAACTAGGTGATTTGTCCCGTGACCCTTTTTCGCCTAGAACTGATCGCTTGAACTTAACCAGTTGATCGATAGGGTCTGCCGACCATTCCGCAGATCGAGGTCTCGACCCGAGAGCAGAATTCTGGGGAAGAAATGATCTAGACCTAATAGAAGGCGGGCAGGGAAAGGTGAATTGCGGGGAATCGGTTGCGGACATGGCTCACGCGACCTCATCCTCCGTCCCCGCCGTCGATGAGAATAGTTTGTAAGTTTCCCGTAATCCCTACGTTTTATTTCTCCTATCGTCTATTATCTCACTCATACATTCTTATGAAGAGCTGGAATTCAGACAACCCTACTTGAGTTAAATCCTACTTGTTGCCAATCAGCCCCTTTGTGCTGCATAATCTACTTTTTTTGGGTTCATGGACTTTCGGGCATTGAATCCCAGGTTTTGGCGTTTGAAGTCTTAGGGCGACTCAAGGAGGTTTTTTATTTAGGCCATTTGAATCAAAGGGATTACTGCTGTCTATTCATTGTTTTATTGAAATGCTGCTCGAATTATACGACTATGTACTTGTCCGTTGTATGTTTTTCCCCCTCCGAAATCTGAAAGAGCTATATACAAGCTGCTTAACAGGAACTATAAAATAAAGGGAGGTAGCATTGAGAAGATTATACTGGAGTCGACTGACTGCTTAGCTATCATAAGGTTTATATACACTTTTTTTGTTTGTGCTATCTTCTTCTTTGATTGTACATGCCCAAAAGATATAAGCCTCTTTTTTTACTTCTTATTTTTAGTAACCAATACTCCCCTAGTCCCTCTCATATAATCATTTCAATAACTTTTTTACCGCCCCTAGGTTCTATTTAACATACCGAATTTAATCACAGTTCTAAAAATTTAACTTTTAAATCTTCAAGAAATTCTCTTAAAGTTACGTACTGCCCTCCCTTCCATGTATCTTTCTCTCTCTCTCTCTTTGAGATGAGATACACACCAGGATAGTGAAATTTGAAAAAAAAAAAAAAACACAAGAAAAAAATACTAAAATTTTAATACTCAAGCTATTGATGTTAAATCCTCATGTTAATGAACCCTCAAGGAAGGAAAATTAGGAAGCTAAAATAAGGATTGTAAGAGTTCTTCATTGAATTCATCATACTTTCCATAATCTAAATCAAATTTTTTTGATGAAAGATGATATCTCCATCTTATTAAAGCATTTGCAGCTTTTCTCGATGCTACAAATAGAAGTGCCATCAATAGAAATAAAAAAGAAAGCATACTTGATGTGAAACAATGAACATGAATTGCGGGATTTCATAAGAAAATTGTTTAAGCGATACAATTATAAGTTAATGTTTCACTAGGAATAGATTTTCAGTTTTCGTAGTTATTGATTTGATTTGGCATGCAATTACAATTTAGATTAACGGGGCAATTCAAAGTAGCAACAAAAATATAGTAAAACTAAATATGAAAATAATAAAAATCCTTCGCTAACAAATAGAAACTTCACCTTTGTGTTTCCCTCACTCTTCATTCTAAGGAATAGTTAGCGAGAGAAAGATATAAGCAATAAAAATGATGCCACCAAATGAAGTAAACACTTACAGTACATATCAATGGAAAGTTATTTCGGAGAAGTAGAAGACGGGGATGGTCGTAGGATTTGCCACATAACTGACAGTAGTTGCTCTTTAATTGCCGTCGTCAAGGAGAGGGGAATCCTCTCGAGAAAACCTTCAACAGTTTAGATCGCTCTCCAAATGAATCGTCGAAGAAGGGAGATGAAGGGGTTTAGGGGGGGGGGGGTCGGCCGAAACTATCAATGGGCTAGGGGGTTTCTGCCTTGGCTTAGGGGAAAGGGCTCCATGTGAATTCCGCTTTTGGTATTTAGTGGGTGAGGAGAGGGAAATAAAATTAGAGATTTGAAATTAAATTTCAAGTTTCCTTTAATTTAGGGATTTGAATTTGAAATTCAAATAAGATGGAGGGAAGGGTAAATAGGTGGTTGATTATTCCCTTAATTGGATTCCTTAATAAGGAAGGAAATGATTAAAATAGGGGAGAGAGGGGGGTCGGCCAAGAGAGAGGGAAGGAGGAGTGTCTACTTTCAACAAATGTGGATCAAGCATTAATTGGGATTGAGAATTAAATCTGAAATTAATTTCAGATTGGGGAGTAATTGGGGGAGGTTTCCTAACTTAAATATCTTGATTAAAAAAGATATTTGAAATTCAAATTAATTTGAACTCAAATTAGAAACTTTCTAAATGAATAAGGGGGATAAATTAGGAAAGTATTTAGGAGGGAATTTGAATTGGGTATTTGGAGTTTGGGATTAGCATGGCCAACGGCTAGGGTGGGCTTGGCTGGGTCGGTGGCTAGGGAAGGGGTGGTGGGGCTTGGATCGGCGGGAGGGCAGCAAGGGGAGGTCGGCGGTAGGGAGGTGGAGGGAGGTCGATTGTGGAAGAGGTGGAGGGAGGAAATGCCGGGTGTTTGGGGGTGTTTTAAGATAGGTGGCCGACGGTGGAAGCAAGGGAGGAGGAAGACAAAAGAAACCACAAATACTAACCGCGAGCCCAGGCCTTTACCGGCTGCTGACGGATGATGTTTGGCCCTCCTAGGGTTCATTTCTCTCAAGAACTCACAAAGAGATCAAGAACAAGAAGCTGAAAATTTTCATTCAAAATATCATTAACCTCATACAATGACTAAGGCCGTAATATATAGGCCTCTAATAATAAGAAAATAAAAGACTCATATTCCCTTGGGATAAAATATGAAAGAAATCCCCACACAGGGGTACATTGATAAAATTGAAAATAACATAAAATAAATATACAATAATGCATAAAAAATAGAGGCTCTGAATCATAGCCGTCGATCTACGATTCCTCCGATGATAGACGTGTCGAAATCTGTTGCTGATGTCCTCATCAATACTAAATTGTATACTCAAGTTGTAAAAAAATTAGCAACAATTACTAAAGGCTTGAAGGTATTTCGACTCATTAACCTTGTTGCTTAATTAAAAGGAGGACCAACACTAATGTTACAAGGAAAGGCATTGCAAATAACTTTAGATCCTCCTAACTACTAATGTTATCAAATTTTCGAATGTAGATCATATGCTAAGGATATACAAACTAAATCATATTCAATTATGAAATCTTCCAAAAATAGTAGCAAGCTTGTATGAAAACCATATGCCTTTTATCATTTATAACAAACTTTATTTGAAAATTGACTTATAACTTATGCAAATCATCAGCTTATGAAAGATAACATAAAATATATTCGAAGTAATAATTTAAGATATGATTTGCACATGAAAATTTAAAACTGAATTGGATTATGTTTACCTTGCCATGATTGTTGTAATGAACATCATGGATGATTGTGGAGGGATATGGCCATGGATGGAAAATCATGAAACCTTAAGCTAGACCGATGAGTACCTTTTGAATTAAGGTAGCGACCTCACAACAAATTAAGATAACAACCATTGCATTGAGGTGACAACCTCTTACCTGGTGAATTTTGGTACACCATGAATACTTCTACAAACTTTGGCGTGCAATTAGGATAGCTTGAACTAGGGCAATGAGTCCCTACTGAATTGAGGTGATGACCTCCTACATAGTAGAGGTGACGACCTCACACCTAGTCAATTCTAACGTATTTTAAGTGAATATGAAGTGGAGGTATGAATAAAATGAAATGAATGACATGATGGACTGAATGAAATGATATGAAATATGTTGACTTGAATACAATACTAAAACGTATTCTACAGGCTATACCATGCTTTATATGTTATGCCATAGTTTACATGCGACAACATACCTTATATATTAGGACATGCCTTGTACACCATACCTGCAGTTAATGAATATAGATGAAATTCTGTATGTTCGTAGATTCTCTTACATGCATTTTCATGCTTAACCTATCCATCTGACTAATAAATCACTACACTTGCATAATATTTCGATGGTATTGGAAAGGCATGAGTTCCACATTAAGCTAGGGACTACCTATTGAGCCAGTGAACTCATACCTATATCTGTTGACATTTTCCAGATAATGTTCTTTTTGTGACATTGAAGAATTAGGAGATGGCATCAAGTTGTGGGTAAGTTAGTTGTGTTTTAAAAACTGGATTTAGTCACTATTAGCAATTTTGGTAATCATGTATGGAAGGACAGGTGCTGGAAATTCTTATTGATTTATAATGTAATCATGTAGCTTGAGCCTTCTATGATGCGTGCTTGTAATAGTTAGATTTTGTTTAATGTTTTAGTAAATAAATTATTGACTATAAAATTTATATGTTTGATTAATTTTTTAAAAATATCATGTAAAGTTCACAAATGAGATGAGGAATGAGAGTGTTTTACGCAAATCAAGATGTATAAAAATATTTTCTGAAATCACCTTCATTCTCCACCTTATTCATGAATTTGCATGGAATTTTGAGCCTTCTATTATGAATGCTTGTAATAGTTAGATTTTGTGTAATGTTTTAGTAGATAAATTATTGATTATAAACTTTATAATTTTGTTTAATTTTTTAGGAAATATCATGCAAAGTTCACAAATGAGACGAGGAATGAGGGTGTTTAACGCAAATCAAGATGTATAAAAATATTTTATGAAATCGCCTTCATTCTCCACCTTATTCTTGAATTTGCATGAAATTTTAATCAATCGAAACAACTGTTCTAACCGTGGGACTATTTTAGATTATTCTTGAGGAATAAAGGGACTAAATTGGACATTTTAAATAGTTTGACACTAAAATAACCCCCAAAAAAATCACCCAAGACCATTTTGACCCTTTTTTCATTCTCATTCACCCCAAATTCATCAATTATTGGCAATTTATTTGTACACTTCCTTTTAAACCTTTCAGTTTTACTTCTTCATAATCAACTTCTACCAAAATTCATATTGATTTTTAGTCTGCATTCATCCTTATTCCGCCAATTATTGATTTTTTTTTTCAAACTTTCTTTCTTAACTTTCCAGTTTACTTCATTTATTATTATTATTATTATTATTATTGCATAGATTTGAACTTTTAACCGCAACTTTGGAGTCAAAGGCAATATCACTGATTTTTTTTTTTTCATTAGCTCTTCAACCTAATTATGCTGCTGTTGATTCTTATTCTTATCCATGGAGGTAGCCTTTTCAATGGCAGAATGCTAACGTAATTCTCAACTTAAAAAAATAAACCCTTTCACTTTTACTTTTGCTCTGCTTGTTTTGTCTAAGTGAACCTCTTTTGATAGAAGGACGTTGACAAAGTAACCCATCCTTGGAATCATGGAGCATCTACTAATTTGCGTCTTTGTTTATTTTGCCTTTTACTTGGGCTTTCGAAAACTTATTTGTATGTCAATTGCTGCCTTTCAGTTAGAATACCAATGTAGAATCTCATACGTGAACCAACCATTTCAAATGCAACGTTTTTTTAAGTTGTAATCTAAATTCAGAAGTAAAAAGATTTTTTATTCATGATCTTGAAATTTTTTTATGTTTTTACTTTTTATTGATTTTTGTTGCCTACTTTTTTTTCCCTCGTTGTGTAGTAGTTTTATTTAAATGAGTGGATTATTTGATAACGAAGGCTTTGTTGCTATTGTAACTCGTAGTCCAAATTATTTTCTTTTTCTATTGTTTTATGGTGAGATTATTATTTTTTAGGTTCGTTGACTTATTGCATGAAGCACCCTTATCAAGTCATCGACAACCTAGAAGTATTTTTGGCAGCATTTTGTACTGCATCCTGTTGGCAAGTATACTTTCTGCTTCATTAATTGCTTATAGAATTAGTGGAAGTCCACTTCAAACATATTATTTCTTGACTTTATTGATTATTTGAATTTTTTTATCTCATGCAAGTATATGCATTATCATCTCAAGGCCATTTTCCCTTCACTCTAAGATTTTACTTTTCAACATATGACTGGTAATTATTTTCCTACACAAGCTTTAGAGGATTAGAAAGGAGAAGCGGTGGACCCAATGTAACATGAATAGAAGTTGTTCAAAATGATTTCCGAAGAATAAGTTAACATCATCTCAGACAATATTTAGCAGGAATAAATTGAAAATGAGGATTTATATAGTTGACCCCAAATATTTGGGTCTTGGCCTAAGGCAAATGATGATGATGATTTTCCATATAAGCGCCTAATGTTCATTGGATTTTTTTTTGCTTCTAGGCAGGTTGCGTAGTTGTGGTAGTTGCAGCACGATGGATATTCTTCCTCACGCCAGAACTGATACCAGCAATGATTTGCAGTTGCAATGTCATCTTACTAGTAATCACAGGTTTTGTATCTGGTTGACACTATTGCTATCGTCATATTTATTCTTCCATTTTCAATTTCTTTGTTAAGGAATGAGCCTGAAAGATTTGAAAATTATTGTTGATATTTTTCTCTTATTATTTTCAATGTGTTGCATAGGAAGTTTTCAAATGTCTTATAAATGCGTAATATTAGTATTCAGTTATGATAAAACTAAGTTTGTTTTATCTCATGTCTAATAAATATGGGATTGATTTTATGATTACTTATTTTTGTTATTTATTTATGTTAAAATTAAGTTTTGTGTTGCAGAGATGAGAATGCTCAAATGGATGAGTGGCTTTACACTTAGAGATAGAATGCAAAATAAGTATATACGTAAAAATGTTGGAGTAGCTCCAGTGGAAGATAAGATTAGAGAGAGTTGCCTTAGATGATTTGGTTACATAAAATGTCAGCCTTCTAATGACCTTGTTAAGAAAGTAGATGTATTAAATCTGGCCTATGTTAAGTAGAGATAAACCTAAAAAGATTTGGTTAGAAAGCATTAAAAATGGTCTCATTTTATTAGATTTACATGAGAATTTAACTCTTAATAGTACACAATAGATTGGTTAGAAAGCACTAAAAATGATCTTTCTTTATTTGATTTAAATGAGAATTTGATCCCAATGGATAAAAATGATTCATGTAGCTAACCTCATGTAGTGGGATAAAGATTGTTGTTGCTACTTGCTGCTGCTATTTATTCATGTTAAGTGTTGAATATGGTATAAACTCTTATCTACTATGTGCTACTCTATTTTCTATATGAATGCCTTAGTCTTGTATTTGTTTTTGCACCAAAATCTTCTTTGTCTTTAAAAAGGCTTTGTAAACCTCATCTAATTGTTTGATTAATCTTGACTATGCTAATGCGACAAGCATCCAACGATCCATACATTTGTGGGCTTGATCATACCAGTGCTAGTGCACTATTTCTCATAAGAACTTGACAGTTATGTATTTTTAGGTGAGAGTAGTGTTAGAATGAGTGATTTCCCAGAAAGTTATTGTTTCGTACCCCTTGTGGAAAAAAAAACCATTCAGTGATCTTAATGAAAAACTATTAAATGTTATTGATAGGTTAATCCTATTAACCTACCATGACCAAGTAACCATCCTTGCTAGTAGTTGGGTTGCGACATTTAAGAGTCATATCCTCTTATGTCATACTTGTCAAGGACAATACAAATAATCTGGTTTCTCAATATATGGTGAACAAGTCAAATTTCCCAACTGGCCACATTTTTAGGAGGATGAATCCATGGCAGTGAAGTTAAAATAACAAAAAATTCCTCTCCTTATTCCGTCGGAAATCATTACTCGAATCTGGTTATGAGAGATGCTGGAGAGATATATGTGACACTTATTATTTAGAGACCATTGAACCGCAATTATAAAAAAAAACAAAAAGTCATGGGAACACAATTTTAATTCTGGCCAAAAGGATGGGAGCACTTTTTCCAAGTATATATGAATCATTCCCAGCCTAATAGAAAAAAGTTAGAGGTTGGATAAATTTTTTTTGTGTTCTAATGGGCCTTGCTGATAAAAACTTTAGGCTGTAATTATCAACATAATGAGCCTTATTCCAAATATCTGTGTTCAAAATTGCAATCCTTTTTGGTGTACAAAATTGCATATTGTCTTGATGCTTTTAATAAATAATGGTTGTTCAAAATTGGAAGATCGGGATGGATAATATTCTTAATCCTGATGTATAGCAGATTATGTAAAAGAGAGGCTTCAGTTTTTACCGAACCCAACTCATTTATTGGGAAGAGGCTTCTGGAACTCCAGTTTTATAAGTACGCTTAATCAATAACCCTTATCAACATCTTAAGTGATATGAACCAAGCTAAGATTCAGCAATGCAAGAAATGATGGAAGCACACTGCCACACTATTATTGTGAAAATAGTTTAAATTTGATTTTGTAGTTTTTATGTTTTATGAGCTTTTATAGGTTATCTGCTTAATTTTTTAATGAGTGAAGTTGATGGGGACATCGGAGCTTGGAAAGTCTATCAGAGACGTGGTCGTCGATCTACGGCTACGATCGAGTCGATGTATTTTTGAGTTTTATTATGTATTTGTCTTTTATTATTTTATGTTTGTATTTTCTTTTGTTATTTTTCGCTTTTATCCCTTACTTAATGGAGGTCATGTGTAAGCCCAAAGGGCATTGTCATCTTTTATTTTTGAGTCATTTGTATGAGGCTATATATAGCCCTTATGTTTTCTTTTCATGCTTAATGAATGATTACTATTGAAATTCCAGCTTTTGTCTCTTGGTGAGTTTATGAGTTTTGGAGGAGAGTCTAGGAGAGGCTAAACACATTACCCAAAAATCACCCTCGGGTGAGTTCTTGGTTCTTTAACATTTTTTCCTTGTTTCTCTCTCTTGTACCCATCGACCAAAGATAGCCACCAAGCCCCACCGACCACCTCATAGCTGCCAACTTCCCAACCCACCTCCAGCCAAATAACCCACCCCCCCCGAACCGAACCATCCCACGCACATCTTCACCCGCCGGCCTCCTCCCTCCACTCTCAATCACCGGCCGGCCCACCCTACCCTGGGCCTTTCCCTCCCCTTTCCCTTATTTCCTAATATAGATTGAATATAATTAGGATTAATTTTGAATTCAAATCCAAGTGATTTGAAATTCAAAAATGTCCCTAAAATAAGAAATCTATTTTAGGAAAGTTTTTAAATCTCATCCAAATCAATCTTTAATTGAATGGGATTTAATTTCTCTTCTCTAATTTAAGAGTCCCAATTAAGCAAGCAATAAACACTTGCCTTAAGCCCCATCCCTCTCCTTATTGCTGCCGGCCCCCTATTGAATCCCATTGGGATTTATTTCCAAAACCTAACTAAGCTCTCTTGGAAATAATTCCTATTTCCCCTCCACCTCTTTTGGCCGAAATCTCCATGTACCCACCTATTTAATTTCTTTCTAAGATATAGCCTCTCCTTTTGGAATTAAAATAAATCCCTTCCCCTCTCTCTTGCCCGCTTCCCCCTCTCTCTCTTCTCCTTCATTAATTCCTTGCAATTAAGGGATTAATTAAGGAGTTGCTTGAGTTAATTTTCCTCCACAAAATCTGAACCAAAATCCTTCCCCTAGCATCCTTAATTGGCCGGCCACCCCTTCCCTCCTCTCCTCTTCAACTCTTGAGAGAAACTTCTTTCTCTCTAAGTGGAATCTTCAAGGGAAGCAACCCCGATCTTCACCCACACATCAACTCTTCGACTCCAATGAATGGCCGATTCGGAGCTTGACTACGGATTCGCTTACAATGAGCAAGGGAACATCAACATCCTCCATTCCACCTTCTTCGACTTCAACCCGGAAGTCGATAATTCCATTGAAGAGTATGTGGACCGCATCATCTTCACACTTTCGGAAGCCATCGACGAACAACTTGCCAACGTCCGGTGGCAAATTGTTTCCGGACCACCCCAAGGGTGAACTTCTTCCCCTTTTCTCTTATTTTCCTAATCCGCTAATCTTGTAGGTGGTGATCAAGTCGCAAGGAATCGTGCCTCGCCCTCTCTGCCTCCGACTAGTAAACGTAGGATTTGAGTGCACCTTATATGTCGTTTATCTCATTGTTAGATTAGGGATTTTTTTGTTGAGTAACTACTTAATTCGTATGTTATTGAAATTCTAAATTGTTTTGATAATTCAAGTGCTTATTTGGCCTAAGCGTAGCTATCCCTCTTACGTTTTCTATTTTTGTTTAACAGTTAATAGTCTTAATTGTTATTTGTTCTTATCAAAATCGTACAAATTCTTATCGCATTCATTTAAAAGCATTGTAGTCCTGCATCAGAAGTTCTCAAGCTATTGCATCATTTTCAACATCGCACATGCATCACTTCGCAACATCTTGCTAATAATCTGATTGAAGCTTAATTTTAATTGTTTTGCAGGCATATTTCAGCAGTATCTAGTCTACCAGGTCAAAAAAGTGAGGTTGCAGGTGATTCTATTTACTTGCTTTTATATATTTATATGTTTTTAAGTTTAATAATAGATGCTTTATAAGTCTTGTGCTCTTTAATTTTCTAGCATCGTAAAATGCTCAAATACCTTTTTTCCAAAGCCTTACCATCAAATGTAGTTTTCCTGTTTTCAGACCTGATCTGGAGCCTTACCATCATATGCTGTTTTTCTGCTTCAAGACCTGATTAAGTGTTGGGTTTGAGGTTCCCTTGTTTGAGACTTATGTCTTGATTGAGAAAAAACAGATTTTCTTGAGGATGCAGTTACTGTAAGAACCTATCATCCATCGTACCTTAACTACATACATGGATAACTAGCTGTGTTGCACAGCGAATGGTGTGTCCTCTAGATAACTATGTCCTGATGGAGATCTTTCAACGGAGAAACATGATTACAAAGCAAGTTTATCAGTTTTGATTAAGGTCTTACAGTTTCTGGTGAGACATAATTTTATTTACTTCGTCACTGTATGCTGATCCAACATCAGTTTGTAGTTTGAGTTGATCAACCAAAAGAACAGAGCCTTAGTTGGCTGAAACTGTGTTAATATACTAGAATGTTTAAGGGTCCAATCAGCACTATCCTGATCTACTAGGTGGCCTTAAATTTTGCAGGGAAAAAATGTTTACAAGAGTAGAAATTATATCAAATTATTATGGCGTTCTAAGTTTGCTCAGGCCCTCTATTTCTTCTTTTTTTGGTTGTCTGTGGCTTCTCAAAAAACATACATGGGCTTAGAGATGTTTTCGATAGCCTTGAATGAAAGATTGCAAGAGGAAAGGACTTTCTTTTTTGTCTTTTGAAGTTGTGATAGAGTGTGCAAAGAGCCAAAGATACATATTTCTTCTTTGTTTGGTTTGGTGAACTTCCCGATGAAACGTGGAAATTCTCAGTTTCTTTGTTTGAACGAGTACATATCCAATGTAATAAAAGAAGAAACGTATCAGCAACTATAAATAAAGTTTCATTATAAAATTTTTCTTCTTCTTATAAATAGCATGAGAACTCTTTTTTTTTTTCACTTTTTTAAGAAACTTGCACATTTTAAGGAAAATGGAGTTTTCACATTTTAATGCAAACAAACGCATAACAATGGCGCTTTCTTTTTTATATAATTTAAAATGGTAAATATTTTGCTAAATCAACAGGTATAGCTGTTCGAAAATCTGCTATAATATGACCATTTTTTGATGTAGGGTTATTACATGTTTAGCGAGAAGCTGAAACACATTGCTAGACTTCCATTTGCTGCTACTGCATACGGTATGTTGCTTTTTTAATGCAGTCTAACTACTGCAGCATGAATATATACAGTACGAAGTGCTTCCTGTAACAAACAATAGTAATGTAATTATAGGGTTTTATGAGCAAGTTGATGATGGTGTTATCCTTAAGAATTATCTTTTATTTCTACTGGATTTCCTATGGAAAAGTTTTTGTGGCATGCTGAACTTTCCAATCAAATCCATTTTAACAGATCCAAACCAGCTTCAGTGGCTGTGGTAGTGATGTGAAACCAATAGGAATTGCATTAGAGGTTATAAAGAAATTGATTTAAGCTTTGCAATATAAATTAATGTTTAACAAGATTAGATGCTTAGACTTAAGGCCATCAATAATGTAAATGCAATCAATTACAAGATAGAATAACAATAACTTGAGAATGATCTCAATCATGAAGATAATGATGCGGACATCCAACCGTCCATATCTATCCGAGGAGCTGAAGATCAACGGCTGTCATCGTCCCACGTTTTCTTATATTTTATTTGTAATTTTTAAAATTTTTATTATAAATTTTCCATTGTTACCCTCACTTAAGAGGGTCGTCCTATGTAAGCCATAGGGGCATATGTGTCTTGTTTTAGTTTCTTAGGCCTATATATAGAGGCACTTTCTTATGTAATGGGATGATGAATTATTGAAGAAAAAGTTTATTTTACTTGTGTGATATCTTAGTGAGTTTATGAGAGGAGAAGAATCTCTTTGTGAGTTCCGAGATTCCCAAGATCTCTTAGTGAGTTCTTGAGGAGGAAGTGGTCTCTTTGTGAGTTCCGAGATTCCCAAGACCTCTTTGTGAGTTAATGAGGAGGAAATACTTGAGATTTGTAACTCCCTAGATTTTTCAATTTTTTTTCTCTTATTTCTCCTGGCATTTGTTTTCCCCTTCCCCATCTCCCTACACACGCTGGCACCCAAACTTCCCCACCCGTCGTTCCCTAGGCACCACCACAATCACCGGCCCCTTTCCCCCCATAGCTCCCAAAATCTGAATTAAATTCCATCATAAAATCTTTGCTAATTTAGCCCATCAATTTCGGAGGAGATTTAAAATTCAATATTCAAAGATTTGAATTTAAATCCTCTCTTAAATGACCCCCTCTAATTTAGGAGAGGTTCTCAATCAACATAAATCTGAAATTAATTTTCAGATTTATGTCACCAATTACCTTAATTTCTTGGGACCACCTCCTTAATGCCTAACCCCTCTCTCTCTCCTTTGTCATTAAATGCTCCCAATTAAGACTCCTTAATCACCTCCCTCTTGCCCCATTCCATTATGATGATTTCAATTATCATAACTCCCTTCCTAAATTAACTCCAAGAGAAAAGGAAAGTAATTACCTCAATATGAAATTTGAAATTCAAATTTAAAAAACTTTCCTTATTTGCAAATCTTAATTAGGAAAGTGCATAAATTCAAGTCTATTTGAAATTCAAATTAAATTGGATTTCATGATAGCTTTCCTAATTCTCATGAGTTATTTTGGAAGCTCTTAAATCCCTCCACAAAATCCTCCTCCCTCTCTTAATGCCGCCGGACCCATGATTCTCCACCTTGGATTTCCCTCTTAAGCCCAACTCCCATTTGAATTTGAAATCAAATTCAAATTCTTTCTCTCTCCACTCTCCACCTAAGCTTCAATTAATTCCTCCCTCCTGCCTTGGACCCGCCGCCGCTTCCCCTATCTCTTCCTTTCCTCCACGGAACATCCATTTGTCAAAAGGTTCAGTTTTTCCCTGCTGTCCTAGAATTCCAGCCAAGGAAAATCTGGATTCTGGCCGCCTAAAATCTCCAAACTGTGGGTTGCTCTCTCACAACCTGTTGTCCAACTGTTTAGGCCCAACCCTTGCTGTCCTGAGGAGTTTCCAAGGTCAAAAACTGCTGTCCAAGGAAACTGGACTGCTGTCCGCTGATTTCTACAGGCTTCCCAACACCGTATCTTTCATCCGAAAGACTCCAACTGCTGTCCACTTCTTCCCCAACACCAAAGTGACTACGCCGGAGCTCCGTATTTGTCTTTCCCTTTGGAATATTATGCGTGCAAATTTCCTTTAAGCAACTCATCCATGCAATTATGTTTCACATCAGATAAACTTAAATATTGTAAACAAGAGATCCCACACTTAACAAATAGAAAAGTCACCTTGAGTTCCCCTCACTCAAGCTCGTCTAGTAAGGGTTAGCGGGAAAGAATCTTAGCAAACCAAGCGATGCCACCAACATTGAGAAGACACCAATGATAGTAGCTCAACAAAAGTTCGCCAAAGAGGGAGAAGACGTGGGTGGGTACCAAATGTTCCGCCGACTTCCGGATGGTAGATGCTCTTCAATTGATGACGCCAATGTGAATAATGTGTGATTGATGTAATCTTCTACGGAGTTATCCACTTATGGATTGAGGTTGAAGAAGGTGGATTGATGAATATCCACTAAACTTTGATTGTCGTAGAGGAAGCCACAATTCCGATCCGGATCGGCCATGCACTAGTCAAGGGGATTGTCGATGGAGGGAGGCCTTCCTCTTTCTTGGAGTGTAGTTCATGAGACAAGAAGGTTTCCAAGAGGTGGGAATGAAGAAGGGGCGGCTAAGGGAAGAGGGGCTTGCTTTTGGTGGAATTAGGGTTTGGGTTTGGAGAGGGAAAGTAATATAAAATCTGAAATTAGTTTCCGATTTTAGTAAAATAGGAAAATGGATTTAAGAACTTGAAATTTGAAAATCAAATTCAAGTGGAGGGAGATTAATTAAGAGAGAGGAGGGAGATCCCATGGAGGGGCCGGCGGCATGCATGGGGTTGGAAGGGATTTGTGGGAGTTAACCAGGATTCCTAATTCATGAAGCAAAATTAGGAAGTAAATAATGAGGTCCATTCTAATTTCAAATTAAATTAGATTTAATTTGACTTTCCTAATTTGACGTGGTTAATTTAGGAAAGTATTCAAAATCCAAAATTTGAATTTCGAATAGAATGAAATCTTTCCCATAATATGTAGGCTAAATTAGGAAAGTCTTAATGAAGATTGAACTCAACATTAAGAGGGGGGGGAAGGTGATGTGGCCGGCCCTATGGAGGGGATTTAATTACTTGGAATTGTGGGCCCAAGCAATTAATTAAATCAAAGGAGAAATCTGAAATTAATTTCAGATTTGAGGGATTAAAGGAGTTACCTAATGAGGGAAGGAAAATTGGGAGAGGAATTAAATTCAAATCTTTTTGAATTTGAATTTAAGAATCCCTCCAAATTTTGTCCTCCTAAATTAAGAAAGCATTCAAAGCAATTGATGGAGGCTAGAGGCGGATGAGGGAGGATTGCCGGCGGTATGGGAGGTGGTAGGAGGCGTGGTGGTGGCTCCAAGGTCGGGAACGGGCGGAGGAGGAGGGGCGCCCAAGGGTCGGCTGGTTTATAGTGGTGGTTGGGTAGGGGAGATTGAGAGGGGCGGCGGTTGGAGCAGGCCGGTGGTGGTGGGGAGGAGATGGGGAGATAGGAAGAGATAAGAAGAACAAGAATTAGAGCCACGAACCTAGGAATCCACCACGGTTGATGGGTATTGCTTTCACCCACCTAGGGTCTCTCCTTTCATAAACTCACTTAGAGATCAAGCAAAGAAAACTAAATTTCATTTCAATATTCATCCTCCATTACAATGCAAGAGGGCTCCTATAAATAGGCCCAAATGAAAGAAAACCGAAAAAGACTAAAGTGCCCTCAGACTACAACATAGACTCAACTTCCCATAGGGGTATAATGGGAAAATTCAAATGCAACATAAAACATAAAATAGAAAATACATAAAAAATATAGACTCTGAATCATAGCCGACGATCCACGATTATGTCGACGATACACATGTCGAAATCTCTGACTTATGTCCTCATCAGGTAGACTTTTATTTTTCATTTTTTAAGTGGTTGTGGTATAACATAGTTAAGGCTATCATGCTCATCACTCTTTCTCTTGGGTATCTTAATTTCTAGACATCTTTGCTTAGATTACAAATGAACTGACTAAAGCTGAGCCAAGCAGGAGCTGATGTGAAACATAATAGGAATTGCAGGAATTTAATAAAAATTGTTAAGTTTGCTAATTTTAAAAGTAATGTTTCACAAGATTAGATTCTAGAATTTCTTAGTTGTTATTTTGCATTGGCATGCAATTACAAATTAGATTAAAATGGAAATTTAAAATAACAACAAAATTATAGTAAAGATGGATGCACAAGTAACAGAAATTCACCGATTAACAAATAAAAATTTCATCTTGAGTTTCCCTCACTCTCACTCTTGAGGATTGTTTTAGAGAAAAAAGTATTTTCAACAAACTTAATGATGCCACTGAAAGACAGAGGACGCCTGCAGTATTGCCTAATGAAAACTTAGCCGGAGGGGAAGAAGTCGGTGGAGGTTGAAGAACTTGTCACTGTACAAAGGTTTGATGTTTGTCGATGTCTGTCGTCAAAGTGAAGAGGATCCGGTCGACGTAATCGTTAACGGTGTGGTCAATCTCCAAGTTGAGGTCGAAGAAGGGTGATCTCAACACATCTACTCTTCCTTGATGATCGTATACGAATCCATGGTTTCTTTCAGGATCGGCCATTCAAGGCCAAGTTGTAGTGTATCTTCTTCCTTGGAAGGTATGTGAAGCAAGGGAGAAGAGAGGTAATGGAGGGGAAAGGGGCTTCGGGGGTTTCGACCAAGACTAGGAGAGACCCCTTTAATTTCAAGTTTAGGGTTAGGGAAGGGAGAGGAAACAATTCAAAAATCTAAAATTTAATTTCAGATTTTGGTTGGATTTGAATGGGAGAATTTAAAATTTGAATTCCAAAACAAAAGGGGAAAGAGGAGAGAAGGGGTGGTTATTATCTCCTTAATTGGAGTTATAATTGGAGGAGGGAATAATTAGGAGAGCGAGAAGAGGGGGCGGGCCGGCCGGCCAAAGGAAGAGAGGGGAGATGTCCACATGTAATGTATGTGGCCCCAAGCATTAAATGTTGATTGGTGAATTAAATCTGAAATTTAATTTCAGATTTGGAGTGATTGAGGGATTTCCTAAAATAAGTTTGTTTAATTTGGAAAGTTTTTGAAATATAAATTCATTTGAATTTGAATTAAGGGATCTTCCAAATTAGAAAAATCTAAGTTATGAAAGCATTAATGGGGCGATTGGAAAAGATAATTAAGGGGATTGGGGTTAGCTTGGCTAGCGGCTAGGATTGGGTTGAGGAAAGGCCAGCGGCTAGGGAGGGGTCGGTTTGGAGATTTGGGTGGAGGGGGTGGATGGTGAGGGGATTTGGGGAAGGCTGGCCGGCGGTTGCGGATGGAGAAGGGCTTAGCCGATGGGCTTGGGTGGAGGGATGGGGTTTTGGCCGGAATTTGAAGGTGGAAGTGTGGATAGCTGGCGGTATAGGGAGGAGGAAAGGGAAATAAGAAATAGAACGGGTACGAACCGCGAGCTCGACCTCTACCGACGGCTGACGGGGGTTGCTTGGCCCTCTCCTAGGGTTCTCTCTTCTCTCAATACCTCACAACAACGAAAAGGAATAAGTGTTGAAATTTCATTCATCAATCATCATCCTAATACAAAAGCTAGGCCCTTCATATATAGGCCTCAAGGAATCAAAAGACACAAAGACGAAATTGCCCTTTGGGCTACAACATGAACTAATCCCTCTCAGAGGTACAATGATAAACCAAAACATAAATAAAATAAAATAAATAAATACATGACAAATAAAGGATCCTAATCTAGCTCGTTTGTGAAAACTTTGTTCGAGTTAGTGCTTGAGCTCAATTAGAGTATTTGTAGTAGTTTGCAAGCTTAATTTGTTTAAAATAATATTTGTTTGAGCTTAGTTTGAACTTGGATTGTTAGATAACATTTTAGAGCCTATTAACGAGTAGGTCTATTGAGCGAGCAGCTTGTCAGTTAATTGAATAAGCTTTATCTTGACTATCAATGAGCAGCCAATTCAACTTGAAATCAGGCTTTAACAGAAGAACTATCAAATAAACAAATATTTTAATGGGAATGAACAGGTAGTTTATATTCATGAGCAAAAGTATGCTACTATATAAAAAGACATGTAATCACATATTAAATAAATTTGTAATCAATTTTTAAATGATAATATTATTGAGACTCAATTGAGCTTACTTATGAACTTTAAATAATATTGTTAATCATCATAAATGAATTGAACATTAAGTATTCTGATTTGTTTATTTAACAATCGAATATTTATATAAGTGTTCAAATTTATAAAATTAGTTATTTAGACGATCAGGCAAAAGCTCTAATTGAGCCAAGCTATGAGTTTGTCGAGAGCGTTAGTTCATTTGCAACCTTATTTTTGCCTTGTGGATAGTAGTATCTTCATCATTTTCTTGCTTCATGTCATCCTTAGGTTGGGAAGTCTCCATATTATTGAAATGCTCTTTAATAAATGTTAGGCAATGGTGCTTGATCTCGACAGTTCTCAAACTTATCAATGATGTCATACAGAAATCTTTGTTGACAATCAGCTAACCTGCCACTGTAGTTGGCCCCTCAGATGGTGAGAGTTTTAGCAATGTAAGCTTTGGTATCAAATATGACATGAGGGGACTAGCTTAAGCTGATCTAGAGTATTTTTGCAACTAAATAAGTATTATGACAGATGTATCATGCATGGTAGTGTAGAAAACTGTGTAGAAATCTAGAAACAAAAATTTAAATTTTATTTCTTATAGAAGTTGGCTAAAATAACGATCTAAATTGTGAAGGTAAGAGAACATATATCTACAAAGATCTATGCAAAACTGCTGGATCTGAGAAAAAGCTTCAATTTGACTCCAAAGTTGTTGGTCATGGAATTTATTGTCTTCAAAGCAAGCTAGATGAATTAAGATAATTCATTTTCTTTGGATCCACTGTAACAAAGCACGAGGATTAAGATCTGAAAAATAATTTGAGAATCTTCATCAAATCAAATAAAAGGCAAATGAGGCTAGAAAGAAAAGGAAATTGGTGAGGAATAAAAAAGATCAGAGAAAAATAAAACCAGATCATTGTGATCTGGTCTCATTGGGCAATCTGTTCTCAGCATTAAGCTACATTATCATCTCCATCCAAGGGATGAGAAGCTTCAATTTATATTTCATCATAAAAATTAGAGTTTTAACAGACAAAAGGTCAATTTTTTGATTGGACGCTGGGGTAATCATAAAGGGGAAAAAAACTAAATAACCACAAGGTTATTTCTAACTTATGGTCAATGATGATGTAGTGACGGCTTGATCAATGTCATTCTTTTATTGTTTTGCTCTTACTACACCTTTGTCTTACTGTTGCTGCACCGTTGTTAATGCCATTGCATTGTTGCTTGTTGATGTCCTGCTCTGTGAACTGAATATTACAAAATAAAGATAGATTGTATATGCGTCTCCCTATTTATTTCTGCCTGCAATGTGTGATGAAACAAATAGCTAACTGCCTTATTCACTGAATGATTGTTTATAAAGGATCTGTTAGCATTGATATTGTGAGGATTTGCATCATCGGTCTCAAGATGGTACTTTGGATATGAAAGAAATTTTTTTATTTTTTTTTTGCTTAGTTATTCAATTGAGATTTTATTATCTTGTCGTAGCAATGCTACTTTACCTATTACCATGCTTGTCTTGTTGACATATCTTCCGTGGTAGGTCACTTCTAGTCTTGTAGCATTTATGTTTTGCATGGAGAAGGTATCTTTTGAGGGCTATTCAAAATAAAGAAGAAATAGTAATATGTTTTCTTGTGAAGTTGGACTATTCAATTGAACTCAACTAATTTTGACATTTTTTAAGGGAAATGCAAGGTGGTGGTTTTTTATAGCTATATCTGTAAGAAATTCATTTTTTTTGTTTGTGATTCAGGAACAGCTTTGATGCTACTTATCTGTGTTTGGCAACCTTATCTACAAATGCTCTCTGTGTCAACATTATTAAGGTATCTTTTATGTATAGCATGCTTATCTTCAATATGTGTCTGTATGCATGAAGGAATGCTTAATAAAATTCTGTATATGTGCTCATTTCAACAAATGGATTTGGTGCGTTTAGAATATCAAATGGTTCATATGTCGTCCTAAAATCAAACTTAAAGCGTGTGTATCTATTTATTATATTCAATTTCAATTCAAGTTGAGATCAACCCCTTTCTTACTAAATCGGGCATCACTCCTTCAATTCTTATCAAAATCATGCGATCTTTATCGTTGGATAGCTAATGCAAATTCTATGTGATTTTTGTGGTCATGAAATGAGCATGATTTTTTGTATAGAACGACAACAACTACAATGATTCACAATTAAAAAAAAACAATGATTCACAATTTCATTTCTCTAATTTAAATAATTATCTCATTTCTCAAGAAAATTGGAAGATTGATTGTTGACCTGATACACTATAACTTCCACATTCATGATTGATTTTGACCCTACGAAGTGTAGTTTTAGCTGTAAAGTATATTAAAATCTTCAGTCCAACTAGGGAACTAAATGGATCAAGAAACATGTAAGTGGAATAGAGGGAGCATCATACGAAAGTAATCTTATATTCTTATCCTACATTGCAGGCTGTATCATTTCGTAGCTTCCTGCCCTTCAGTTGAAGAGCCCTCCTGCACCAGCCATTCTTCATGTACGCTCAACTGCCACAACTTCTCCACTTTCCAAAATAAGAAAAAATTGCTCAGCTGTCTATTGCTTCCACTACCACCCCCTAAATTATAAAAAAGATGGGATGCCTCCTCCAGAGCCTATTGCTAGGGAAGAGATGGGTGTTGAGTATGAGCGAAGGGGTGCTGATTTTGCAGGAAGAGGGGTAGATTATGAGCTTAGGGGTGCTGATTTTGAAAGGAGGGGGATTTTGAAAGAAAGGTTTTGGTATGAGCGCATAAGGGAGAATCGAGACACTTGGGGAGCTCCTCTCTTTCGAGGAATGGGAGGCTATGGAGGATTTATGGGAAACTAGGGCAATCCGAGGGTAAGGAAGTTGAAGATGCCTATCTTTGAGGGCGATGACGCACATGGGTGGATCTACAAGGTAGAGAGGTATTTTGCCATCAACGGATTGACATAAGAGGAGAGATTGAGGGCAACTGGCCTGTGTTTGGAGGAGAAGTCATTGGCCTGGTATCAGTGGAGAGACATGAGGTGGCCCATTTGGAGTTTGAGGGAGTTCAATGACTGCTTGCTAAAAGTTTTCTGAACCAGCAAGGGAGGGGACTTCTATGAGCAATTATTCGCGCTGACATAAGAGGGTTTTGTGGTGGAGTACCGTGATAGGTTTGAGTGCCTAACTGATCGACTGGATCGGCTTTCTGAGACTGTGCTGAAGAGGAACTTTATGAAGGGGCTCAAGCCTGAGATCTGGGCGATTGTTAGAGTGATGAGGCCGTGTGACTTGGAAAATGCTATAGAGCTAGCGTAGTTGGTGAAGGACCAAAAGTACCTAGAGAGGGTGGCCAGAAGCAGCAGTTCAGGAGGGTCGTACAGGATGACCACTACTTTCTTAGCTCCCAAGGGACCAGCATCGGGATGCCTTTGTGAGGCCCCGAAGGAGAAGCCTATAGGAGGGGGATCTTGGAGAAACTTTAAGAAGCTCACTGAGACGAAGCTGCAGGAGAAACAAACAAAGGGATTGTGTTTCAGATGTGATGAAAGGTACACAGCGGGGCACAATGTAATGATCAAACTCTTCAGGTTCTCATCGTCTGTGATGACGAGGAAGCCAAGGGAGGTGAGAGAGGCAGTGGTATAGGAGGAGGATAAGCTGCATCTTAACATGGCTGAAGTCTCATCAAACTCAGTGGTGGGGTTCTCCGCAAATCACACCATGAAATTGAAAGGAGAAATAATATACAGGGAGGTGGTGGTGTTGATCAACAGTGGGGTTACCCACAATTTTATCTCCAATTAGTCCGTTAACCAATTGGGGGTGAAATTGATGGACACCGGGGATTATGGGTGATGATTGGCACTAGGAAGGCGGAGATGGGTATAGGAGTGTGCAAGGGAGTTGTGCTGACTATACAGGGGGTTCATGTGAGGGAGGATTTTCTCCCATTGGAGTTAAGGAGCACTTATGTCATCTTGGGAATGAAGTGGCTGCAGACCTTGGGAGATACTTGAGTCAATTGAGAGCACTGAGGATAAAGCTAATGGTGGAAGGAAGAAGGATGGTGATCTGAGGAGACGCAGGGATGTTTAAGGCCATGGTGTCTCTCAAAACCATAATTAGGAAGGTGGGAGGAGGCTTTCTGGTGGAACTGCAGAGCTTAGAATAGATCATACTAGAGGAAGGGGAGACATTGCTCTTTTAGTATAGCCACTCATACAACAATTTAGTGAAATTTTTAAGCCACTTTAAGGCTTGCCACCACTGAGAAAGCAGGAGCACGCCATCACCTTAAGGGAGGGGGTGTTACTAATTAGTGTTCGGCCTTACCGCTGCCCTCAGATTCAGAAGGATGGACAAAGAAGCTGATTCGAGAGATGTTGGAGGTGAGGCTCACCACGCCAAGTGTGAGCCCTTTTTAGCCGTCTTATTGGTCAAGAAGAACGATGTGAGCTGGATATTTTGTGTGGACTACTGGGTCTTGAATAAGGAGACTGTGCTGGACAAGTTCCCCATTCCAGTGATCGACGAACTACTAGATGAGCTGTGCGTTGCAGTGGTGTTTACCAAGATGGATCTAAAGTCGGGATATCATCATATCAGAATGAGAGAGGCGAATGCCCAAAAGATTGCATTTAGGACACACGAGGGACACTACGAGTTCTTAGGTAGGTATGCCGTTTGGCCTCACCAACACTCTTGTTACTTTCCAGTTTCTTATGAACAGGGTATCCTGACCATACCTCCAAAAGTTTGTATTGGTTTTTTATGCGCCTTAATATCAAAAACAACAACAAACTCCAAGAGATTCAACAAAAAAATATATTTTAATTGATAGAAAACTAAATACGAACAAAGCAAGATACAATGGACCTCTTTTGAGAGGAGGACCTTTTCTCCCAAACCCTAGACGTCGCTAGGATCCCTCATACAAGAGAACTATAACACTCAAAATAAATTTATGCATACAAACATAACATAAATCTTACTATTTATAGCAAACAATAAAACAACAAATTTCAAAACGGCCCTCCCCAATATCCTCTCAAATCAGCCATATCTAATTAGGAAATATCTCATGAATCCTGATTAATCTCCTCCAAGTCAGCCCCCAAATCTGTCCTTTTTAATTAGGAAATATCTCATAATTAATCTCCTTCAAATCACCCTCTAAATCAATAATTTTTAATTAGGAAATATCTCCTAATTAATCCCCTCTTTAATTCCTCTTCTCATATATCATATATGTAATGATAGGTTAATGGGCCCCACAAGGGGGATTGAATTACCCTCTCCTGTATCAATACTCCCCTCCTGAAAATGCACATTGTCCTCAAGGTGAAAGGTAGGGTACTGTCTCCTGATTGTCTCGTATGGCTCCCATGTGGCATCATGCTCTGGCAGATCTTTCTACTTGATTAGTACCTCTTGTGGCCCAGTCTTCCCTTCGCGCACACCAGCTACTTCTAGGGATTCCAAAATGACCTTCATGTCCTCTGTCGAAGTTGGGGTAGAGATGATGGTGTATGCTCTCCTATTGCCTCCTAAGCTGTGAGACATGATCGTCTGGATGCAAAGCTGATGAAGGTGGTAGCCTCAGTCGATATGATATTGCTCCAATACACTCCATATCCTCATAAGGCCCAAAGTGCCACAGGGATGATTTCTCATTCCTTCTTCTGGCTTGTGTTTTCTGTCTGTAGGGCCTCAATTTTAAATAAACCATATCTACTAGCTCGAAGTTTACTTCTCTCCTATGCTCATCAGCCTTAAACATTAGTATCACACCGCAACCTACGCTACATAATTCGTTCTCATAGTTTTAAAGTATGATGCATTAACTTAATTTCTTTATAATTCACACAATCTTGTGCATCGCCTTTATTCTTAAAAATAGGAATTAACACACTCATTCTCCACTCATCTTACTTCTTTTTAGTCTTCAAAACAATATTAAAAAGTTTAGTAAGCCAAGAAATTCCTTCATCTCCTAAGCATTTCCAAACCTCTATTAGAATATCATCAGGTCCAACAACTTTCCACACTTCATTTTATTTAGAGCCTTTCTAACTTCGGTTTTACTAATACGCCGATAAAAACATAAATCTTTATTTTCATTTAAGGTGCTAAGGTCATTAAATTCAATCATACTTTCACATTCTTCATTAAAAAATTTAGCAAAATATCTCATCCATCTTTGTTGAATATATCTTCTAAGATAACCAGTCTAGGACAATTTTTTTTCAATGTGCATCTGTGTCTTCCTGATGATGAAAAAAATGTTGAATGTTTTATTATAGCTAACATGTCCGATGAAAGATACCCAATTGTGGAAGATTCAATGCAATCTTGATCGATTGACATGACATATTGGACTTTCTATGATAGAATATAATTTAAATATACGTTTCTTATGGTTATAGTCTAATAGAATAGGACTTACAACTTATAGAACAATTTGACCGACAGATTTCAAACTCGCTTTTTATTTTATAGAAAAGGGAACATTGATGGTTTTAGGGATAACTAATTACCTTACATTCTTTGGAAAGAAAATGAAAAGTAAGGTTTTGTGTTTTGCCCAAAAATGAGTGGCTTTGACAAATCCTACCGATCAAGAGAAGCTAAGTCCTAAATCCATGTGACTTGGGATTGTGTTTTTTGGATCATGTTGAAGACTTTAAAAGGGTTATGTCATGATTTTCATCTTGTAAATTGAATGGGACTGGGAACTAAAAAAGTTGGTTAACTAGACAAGAAACGAGGAAAAAATTCATGTGTTCCTTAATGAAAGTGGATGAAGGATTGGTATTTAAACTACAATTTGCCTAAATCAATAAGGTCAATGAATTGTTGTGTTTATTTATTTTTTCGTACCACCACTACTAACTCAGTACAAGTAATAGTACCATACAAAACATAATTGGAACATATTAGTGCCGTATGACTCGATCCATAAATGTTCTCAGTAATACAAATGAAAATTGATTAATAGTGAAATGCCATTTTGATGTCACGATATTCATTTGCTTGATTTAGATTATTTATCAATTGATCTAGTCCATCATTTGTTTCTTAAATTTCTTTATTAGAAGATAGAAGATAATCAAATGCTATCCTCCCTCTAGAAGTAAGGATTCAAATCTTCAGACTATCACACCAGTTTTATAGTTGTACTTTCCTTGTTAGTCCATAGAGATATGTGCCTGTTTAATGAAATGTGCCAAAACGATAGAAAGTTACTCTTGCGGAAAATAACTGAATTATCAAATTCTTTGGAAAATTTGGAGAAGGGATCAAAACCTAAAATGCATACCTTGTTTCCCTCCCAATTTATTGAGATTGGTAGTATCAGAACTTATTGCAGATACTTCGGTTAGGTATATGACTCGCTATTCTTTCCTGTGCCTTTTTTTTTTCTCCTCTAATTGACTTAAAGGCGTAGTTATATAACTGGACATTCTTTCATGTGCCTTTTTGTTGTTTTCTCATTTAGGTGCCGTGTTTTAGTTGACATTTCATTTTTCTTAGTTGGGATACATATGGAAAATCCTTTAAATGCATAATTTTGTAATGATTTATAATTGATATCAACTATAACCGCTATCCTGTGATTTTTTTATGAGGTGGAGATCAAACAGTTGAACCTAGTACTTTCTGGCTTCATTCAGCATTCTTTTACAACTAATAAGATCTGAACATTTCTTTTAATATCCTCAGTTATATTCAAGCATCTTTACATGATCATATTTGGTCTATCAATGTTGCGTAATATTTGATTATCAAGAGTGAAAAACTACATCCTGTGCTGTAAGATAATGCTCATGTATGTTTGCAATGCCTGACTTGCATTCTTGCAGGATTGTGATGTTTGCTGAAGTCGTTGGTGTTGGCTGCTTTATGAGTGTTTATATAGGTGCGTAGAACCTGCTGATTAGTAGTATAATCAAAGTAACTGAGGCTTTGTAGATTTTCTATAGCTATAGTAAGCTTAATCTTCTACTACCATGAGAAAGTTCATCTTTGTGGCAATTTTTTTATCACTGAAATATTTCTTTCTGTCATTTCATTAAAGTTTCATAGGCAGTATTCACTTTTCAGGGCGGTGCTGATTTCAAATTGATCGTTATACCTCACCTGCTTGGTTACCTCTGGTTTTTTTATAGTGCACTTTGCTTATTCTGGTTTTAGTTTTGTTCTATGGTAATAAGTAATTCTGACGTGAAATCTAAACTGTTGAAGTAGAAAAGGTGCTAAAAACCCAATGCGGTGCTTTCTTTGAAGGCATATGAAATGATCATGTTGAAATCCAGTCGTTCCCAGTGCAAAGGATCCAACAAACACAGAGATCAATCCGTGGGAAGCTCTCATGGATCACGCCATAATGAAGGAACTAATTTAGGAAAGAGTTTATTGGGATTTTATGTATGAAATCTGTAATTTATTATTTCCTCATTAAGATATCTTGTATAGATCTATAAATAGGGAAGATATTACTGAATAAAGACAAGTCTTTCCCTTTTATTCCTCTCAAATCCTCGTTTGTAACATGGTATCAAAGCTTCGAAGAAAGTAAAGAGGAAACCATCGGAGGAAGTCAAGAAGGACGGATTCGGAGCCTTACCAGGCGAAGCCCGAAGCCGGAGTCGTCAAAAGATGAGAAGGAGCCGAAACCTTACTAGATGAAGCCAGACAAGGCGGAGCCCTAGCCGACACCGGAAGACCAACGCTCGGACAGGCAAGGCGGAGCCCTCGCCGAGAAGGAAGAAGCTCGGATGAAGCCAGGCAAGGCGGAGCCCTCGCTGACGCTACCCTCAAGTTGACACCAGAAGACCGACGGGACGGAGACGGGAGCGACTCGCCTGCGGTATCCCGTGCCCTAGCTACTGCTGTGCTAAACGAAAAGAAGACTGGGTTTAGCCTAGTAAACAGAGGAGGGGTCGTACCCGAGCCTCTTAAGGCTCGGCTCATTAAACCGAGAGGAAACCAATTTTTTTTGTTTTGACCAGGTTTTCAGCCTTTATTGCTGATATTACCTAATCAGTCAGTCTTTATTGCTGATATAATCAGCCTTTATTGATGAAATAGCCGTAGCTGATATTATCAGCCTTCATTGCTGATAATCTTGTGATATAACAATGTCTGAAGAAAACTCATCTCAAAGCTTCAATAAAGAAGACATTGAAAGGCTCAGACAACTCCTGGTATCCCTTAAAAAACCTCAATCTCCTGCATCTCCCTCTCTTGCACTTTCAGGTATGTTTCCCATATTCATCGGATTAAGTACCTCTAGAAATTATTCGAAAGGAATATGGATCATTGACTTAGGAGCCACAAATCACATGACAAACTCCACTACCCACTTCATCAATTATGATCCTTGCTCAATAGACAAAAATCTGTGGACCCCTATACCTCAAATCACATGCGAAAGGACCAAACTGGTGAGTAAAGTGATACGCGCCTTGGCGCCACGTGTCACTTGAAGGATCAAACGATTTCTGATTGCCAAATGGATGGCGCCGTTGCGATCAGGACATCGAATTCTGCTAGGTCGAGGCCCATCCCAATTGAATAAGACGAGATCGACCAAAAGGAATGACTGACACCTGAAATTAAAGCGCGATGCTAATCAAACGACATCGGATTGACAAACGGACTTCTTCGTTGTGTCCGGAACATCGTCAATACCCTAAATGCACTGCCAATTTGTTTAATTGAGGTTGTGCACGCAAATCGAGGCGGTCCCTACAAAAATTAGCCTCGGCGTTGCTCAAACGACGTCCGATCGCGAAACGGACTGCGTTGTTGCGACCGGAACATTGACAGTACCCTAAATTCATTATCAATTTATCCAATTTCGATATTCACCGAAATCGACACGTAAAACGGAATAGTTGGCACGCAAATCGAATGAAAAATGCACGTGAAATGATGCAATTTTGAACAAATGAGGCACTGCTGTCCTCTTGAATTAAAGCCTAATGACCATACACTAATGTGGCTATTAAATTAAATCTTCTTTAGCAAAGACAGATGCCAAAAGAGGAAAAAGGGTCAAATACATTAAATGCCAATCAGTATGTCACCTCGCTTTGTCTATCTCCTGGTCACTTCAGCTTTGTATAACAGCTGGCCCGTTGCTTCATCTGAACGGACACGCTCCATCTAAAGGCTCCCCAAGCAAACTCCTATCCAATTATCTACAACTTCCACACTCGAGCTCTCATCCAGAACCGATGCCAGAATATGGAACTCCAACGCCTCCTTCAGCCATCCAGCTGAGGTCTCCCCTCTCTTCACGAGAACCTGCTCCCTTCCTCTTGCTCACGTGAAGCCGCCTACCTCTTGTTCTGAAACCAAATTCCCTTGCCCTTGTCCGTCTTCTACCTTCCAGCACCTCCATATAATTAAATCCACCTCCAAATACATCTTATTCTATCACCAAAATGTAGTCCACTGATATCTTGCTGCTTCCTTTTGAGGGTACTTTACTTGAGAATCAATGCGTACCTCTGCTTCCACCTCTTCAATCAGTTGTGGAGCTTGAAAAGGCAGAGACTGAATCTCCCACTGATTCAGCCGTGGAAGCTAATCAAGAGAAGCTTGAGGAGACAGCAGAAGCCGCAAAAGCCCTCTGGCCAGATCTTCCTCCAGCCATCCCTGACCTGCTCGCATGCCACCTGACGCATGATTCTGATCTTTCACTCCAGCAGCCCCCTATCAACAGCCCGTCCCATGCTTTCTCTGCATGTCTCACATCCATCCTATTCTCAAATCCCTCCCAGGGCTACCGAAAGTTTCGGCCACCAAGCAATGGAGAAAGTTTCTCTCCATATCATCCTCTCGGTTGCAGAAGATCAGATAAAGGCAGAAGAAGCAGCAGTTCCTCCAACCTCTCTACTACCTGCAGCCCAAACCTGATATCTTCAGCCCCATTTACACTCTCCTACACTTAGCTAAATCAGCCCAAAGAGCACTACATTTCAAGCTCAAAACAGTCCACCTCTAAGGCCCACTACACCATAAAAGTTTCAGCCCAAAAACCTACAGCAACAACCCATAAAAACCCCACATAAAGCCCATTGCTGCTCACTATTTCCACCCAAAAATAAACCCAAAACAGCAAGTTATCCCAGAGCCATGGCTTGATCTGTTGATCACTTAGTTCTCCACCCATCACTAATCAGCCCCAAATCCCAAAACAGTAGGCTCATATTTCATTTCTTTTTATTTTCATTATTAATTAGTTTTACTTGCTTTCAATGATTCATTTTGTTAAGTGGGTAGAGAATATGTTCATGTGCTCATATTTATATAAATGTGTTTATGTGAATGTACATTTGTGTGTGTATGTATGTGTGAGTAAAAAAAAAAAAGAAGAAGAAAAGAAAATACAAAAAAAAAAAGAGGAAAGAAAGTGTTTTGTGCATTTTTGTAAAATCTCATCACCACCATCCCCGCCGCCGATATGCAAAGGTATAATCTCTAAACTCAGATTTTCACTCTCGTTATTGGCGGCGAACTAGCAAACCCCTCACGTGCTCACGTAGCGTTGTGGGGAGGGGAGCTAGTGCGACGCTTACAACGAGGCGGGAAATTGCCTATGATTCTTTTCTCGTGGCTTGCAACGGGCCGGCAAAACCCCTAGGCACTCACGTAGCATTATAGGGAGGAAAACCGGCGCGGCGCTTGCGGCGATTTAAGAATCCCTCTTCAATGCTAGCAATGAGCCGACAAACCCCCTAGGCGCTCAAGTAACGTTGTAAGGCGGGAAACCGATGCGACGCTTGCGGCTAAGGGGATATAAATTTTTTTTTATATAAGTACCCCAAACACTCACGTAGTGCAGAGGGGGGAAATCTGTGCTTATTTCTAACATGTTTTTTTTCTTATAAAAAAAAACCCTTAAACGCTCACGTAGCGGGCGGGGATAAAAAAAATATATGCGACCGCGGTATCATTTTTGACACCTACCTGAAGCACTCACGTAGCGTCAAGGGAAAGTTGCCTCTTGTTTTTTTCTCCTAAACGGGGGAGACGCCGGGAGGCTGCTGAAATTTTTAGCAAATTAGAGACTTGGACTTGAATAAAATTTGGACTACATGGGACTTATTTGAGATCAAATGATCAATAATTTAAACTTAAACTTGAATCAAATGAGCTAAATGTGAGGACTCAAATTGGACTTGAACATGTTTGAACTCAAGCAAAGACTTGAGTTGGACTACAGGGGATTCGAATGAAGGGAAGAGGCTCATCTAAAGCCTGAACTATATTTGAACTTGAACTTGTGGACCTTTGAACAAGACTGAACTTGAATTGAATAAAGATTCAAATTGAAATCAAATGTAAGCCTAAACAAATGATGAGCAACAAATGACTTAAATCAAATGAACTAGGTGTTGTGGATATGAGCTCAAATTAGACTCATACATGAACTTTACAAGACAACCAAAGAATTGCATGTAATACATAAGCTTTGAACTTGTTACATACAAAGAGCAATAAATTGAAGTACTTGAACATTGAGGGTACAACATGGAATGTAATTCAATGCTTAAAATGAGACTTGTAAATTGGCAAGATGATAAAGTTAACCATGCAAGCAAAGATCATGAGGAGAACACAATGATATGCTTGTAATTAACAATACAAGACTTCTAATGGAACATTGAGAAGTGATCACATTGATGAAAGTGCACATTCAAATGATATCAAATTCATCATATACGATCAACCTAAAGGGGTATATAACATAAGTGCATGCTATTCATCTTAATCATGGATGGCATATTCACGAAGAACATATGAAGAATATGAAATGAAGATCTCCCTCCAATCAATGATAACTAGTTCGTAGACAAATGTAGTAGTTATCGACAAATGTTAAAGGTTGACGTATGAAGAGCCTAT